GTGCCGCTGAGCCCCAGGGACCTCGGGCTACATACACCCTGGCTTCCCAGGGACTGCAGCGACCATGGTGCGTGAGCGCCCCCAACCCCACCAGCACCCCGTCTGAGTTTTGAACCACGTCTGAGGGTGACCCTACTATGGGAGGAAATGGAGTCTGAACAGGCCATCTTTTGTAGTCAGGCAAGGCTTCTAGTGATGGTCTAGGACTCAGTTGAGTTTTTGGTCAAGAGGATCTTATGGAGATCCTCAAACAACCCAGGCCGATGCTAGGACAGAGGACCACTTTCTAAAATGGACAGTGGGAATCCCATTACAGAGGACAGCATCCACACAACTCATGAACATAAAGAGATCAAGCTGATGTCTGTGTGGAGCCTTCACTCCTATGTTCTAGTCTTTTTGGTACAGGGAGGTACTCTGCAAGCTACTGAAAAAAAAAAACCAACACTAAGTCAGCCACAAAACCTTCAATCTATAATCTGCCTGCAAGAGAGGCAATGGTTGACCTTGAACGTGTGGTAGTAGTCAACCAATGTCTATTTTAACTTGAGGCCCCTACCACAAAAGGGAGCTCTCATATCCTACGCTATCTGGATAGCCAGGAATGGGACACTGGATATCCCAGAGACCTTGAGCAGAACCAAACAATATAGGCAGTAAATAAATAAAAAATAAAATTATTATTGTTGATATTTTGCTAAACTCATAGATGGATGCCTTGTCCAGTCAGAGTCATCAGAGGGTCCTCCTATAGCAGCAGATGGGAAAGGGTGCAGAGATCACAGACAAACATGGAGACTCTAATTTGGAGATCTCCATAGGGTCCCTCATCTCAGAGCTCAGGGAACCCTATGGAAGTGGCAAAGGAAAGATTATAAGAGTCAGAGGCTATTGGGGAAACCAGGAGAACATGACCCACTGAATCAACTGAACAGAGCTCATATGAGCTCATAGAGACTAAAGTAACAAGCACGGGGCCTATGTTGGTCTGCACCAGGTTCTTTATGTAATGTTACGGGGCCTGTGTTGGTCTGTACCAGGTACTCAGCATATATGTTATGATTGATAGCTTGATATTTCTGTGGCACTCCTAACAATGGGAGCAGGTTTGTTTCTGACTCTCTTACCTGTTTTTGGAATTCTTTTCCTCCTATTTTTATCCTGCCTTGTCCAACCACCATATGAGGACTTTCATCTTATCTTATTGTGTCTTGTTTTGTTGTGCTTGGTTGTTGTCTTTCAGAGGCCTGCTCCTTTCTGAAAGAAAACAGAGGGAAAATAGATACTGGGGAGAGGGATGCCTAGATCTAGATTTGTTTCTAATTTGGAGTCTAGAAGAATTAGGAAATATTCTTCAGAGAGAGGGATAATTCAGCTGAATTGGTAGCCAGGTGCAAAGGAAATTTTAGTATCTTGAGGAGTAAAGGTGATGGTTGTGCCTAATTTTCAAAGATCTCTGCCTAGACGGAGATCCAGACAATCTGGGACTAGCATGAAGGAGTGAGTCACCTACTTGTGGCCCAGGAAAACTATCCTTTTAGGTGTGAGGTAATAGTCCTTAATCATGCCCGTGGCTCCCTGTCTTGATCTATTCAGTTCAGTCCTGGACCTTAAGTATGCTTTCTTTTCCATTTTGCTGGCACCAATGAGTGAGTACATATTTGCCTTTGAATGGACTGATCCAATGTCAATTGAGTCTAGTCAGTCAAACTGGACACGACCATCCTAAAGGTTCAAAATTTTCCTTTACACATTTTGTAAAAGAGTTACAAAAATCCTTAACAGCAATCTAGATGTCACACCTGGATTCATCTCTGCTCCACTATGTAGATGATCTTATATTGGCAGCAGTCAGCACCACCACCTGTTTGAAAAGCACAAAGGATTTGCTCTAACTGCTCCAGGCACTGGGATATAACATCTCCCTGAAAAAGGCTCAGGCTTTGCCAAACAGAGGTCTTCTAGCTTGGATACAAGCTTGCTGTAGATAGGAGAACTCTTAGTGGCTGATACCCAGGATTCCTACTTTCCAAGCCAAGAAGTAGGCATGCAAGTTACATTACAGGCTCTGGATCCCTGGATTTGCTGGAATAGCCCTGCCCTTTATTCTCCCACTGTGGGAGACCATCCTTTGAAGTGTGTTGAAACAGAGGAGCAAGCTTTCTAGAAACTAAAACAGGTTTATACCTAAACCCCAGCTTTAGCTATGCAAGATGTCACTAAACATTTTCAGTCTCTCATTCATGAGAATCTAGGCATTGTAAAGGGCAGTTTGATTAAAATCCTGAGGCCCTGGTGGCCTCTGGTCAGCCACCTTGTTTGTGTGCAATAACTAAAACCACTATATCAGCCAAGGAAGCTGACAATCTCACCTTGGGCCAGGACCTGACTTTAAGTGATCTCCATGCTGTAGAAACCATCCTAAGAGGATCAAATGGCCACTGGGTGTCAAATGCCCACATAAGAACTTGTTGCTTGGTTAGCTCTGTCTCACTTTAGCTGGTGAACAGAATCTCAATCCTGTACATTTATACCTGATGTCATCAGCCCTGAGGTCCCCATGTATGACTATAGGCTTATACTTTGTAAAACCTACTTTAATAAATGTACTTAATGCTTTAACCCCCCTTCTAGCATGACTCACCAGACTTAATAGAAAGGAAAGTTTAATAAGGCAAAGTGGGTTGTCAGTTCTTTGGGATGAATCCAATCTGCATTCTCAGGATATTGCCAGTTTAGTTCACATGAATCAGCAGCAGTAGCTCCATCTATTCACAAACACCATTCATGAATCAGCAAATTGTCTGAGTCTATGGAAGTAGCAAGAAGCCGCCTGAACACCACCAGAAGTTCTTTTGTGCATTTCTCTCTACAAAATCATGACAAACAATAATCAGCAAAGAGTGGAAAGGTGAACCAATACCACACAGCATCATTCATTGTCTGTTGGGTTATATTTATACCCCTTTCAAACATCATGTGTGCTCTTAAGCATCTGCTCTACCAAAATATCACATGCCATTTTTTCCTAGGAAGCTTCTGGAAAAACACCATGTGTCTGTTCTCAGAAAAACATTCTCCCACATGTCTGCTTTAGTAAAAACATCCTCTCATAAGACAGTCTCCAGAAAAACATCACAAGACATAACCGAGTCTCCAAAGAAATCAGAAATGTCCACATTACATAACTGTGAAGGCTTTCTGGAAGCTTCTCAGTTGAGTGGCCCAGATCTCCAGGACACTCTTCTGCCTGGGGCAGAGGCTGATTTCTTTACTGATGGAAACAGCCTAGTCATCAATGGAGTCAGGGGAACTGGAGCAGCAGTAACTAAATACTCAGTAGACTACCATACGGGCACAAGCCTTATCACAAGACCCATCAGACTGAAAGGCAGAGGTGATTGCTCTTACTTAGACCCTATACTAGGAAAAGCAAACATTTATACAGATAGCTGGTATACTTTTCCTACCCTTCATGTCCGTGCTATGAGTTATAAGGTCAGAGGCCTAGTAACTTCTGACAGAAAAACTTGAAACTGACAGAGGAAATTCTAGTTATCCTTGAAGAACTCTGGCTCCCCAAAGAGATGGTTGTTATCCATGACAAAGGGCATCAAACAGCAACATATTTGAAGTCCAAGGAAGATTAGATAGCCTGACAAGCAGCAGAGATGCTTAAGGAGCTCCTTTCTGTCTTACCAATTACTTTTCCTAAATATCCCTTTCCAAACTATCTACTCCCAGGAAGATAAGGATAAGGTCTGCTTCCAGGATGCAAAACAGAATCTGACTGGTGGGTTTTGTCAGACTCAAGAATTATTCTCCTTGAGGTCCTTGGATGCCTCTTGATGTATTAGCTGCACCAGACTAGCCATCTTGGCACCAACAGACTGGCTGAGTTAATTATTTGCCAGACACAAGATTCTACATCTCCAAGAAATAGTCTCTCAGGCTTCCTTTCAGTGTCTCTCCTGAACACAGGACAATCTAAGGCAAGAGGTAAAAGGAATTTTTGATATTTGTTTGAAATGACTAGCTTCTGTGAAAAATGGGAAGTAAACTTTACAGAGAGGAAGCCTCCTCAAATTGGGTATAAGTATTTTTTTAGTGTTTGTGGACACCTTCTTGTAATGGGTAGAAGCCTTCACTACTTATAGAAAGACAGCTCTAACAATGGCCAAGACTCTTTTTATACCCCTAGGGTTATGCTGCACCTATAAATTGGATCAGATAATGGACATACTCTCACCTTGTTCATAGCTCAAATGATCAGTAAGCCTTTAAATGTAACCTGGAAGCTTCAATGTACCTACTGACCTCAGATTTCTGGACAGGTTGAAAGGATTTTTAAAAAAGTAATTTAAAAAGTAATTAAGCCCATTGTTTATAAATTTATTTTGGAAATTGGTGAAAACTGGCCCAACTTTTTACCCCTGGTCTTTCTTAGGGCAAGATATACCCTGAGAAGATCCAATCAGGCTAAGACTTTCTCACAAATAGAACTCTTGTTTGGTTATATATTCCCTCTTGCAGGTATGGGAGTTCCTTCCACACCTCCTAAATCAAACTCCTGACCCTCTCATGAAAATGTAGAAAACAGCTAGAGCCCTTAAAACCAAACTGAGTATGCAAGGATGCAACTGCAAGCAGCTTTTCCACAGGCCTTCCTGTTGGTTTATTCACAATGAGTGGGTGGGACCAAATGTCCTTGCCCTCTGCTGCTCATTGGCTAGAGCCAATGACATAAGCAGTGACGTACACATACCATTGTGTCTCATTGACTGGCCAGTGGAAAGAGGTGGGCTCTCCCCAAGACACAGCTTTAAGGGAATCTGGCAGCAGCCAGAGAGGTACCCTGTCCCTGGCTCTCCTGAGAGCCATTCACCGTCATCTCACAGAGGCTGGGGAACAGGGTCATATCTTGAGAGTCAGACAAAGGAAGCCTGCTGAGTCATCTGTAAGCCTTGGTCATTGCCCAGGTTGCTGGTGATACCACCATAATGAACCTTGTACGGTGGATGTCTGCATTCTTTCAAGGGAAGAACACGTCTGAAGAAACATCACAGGAACGCCAAACAGGTAATCTGGGAACACCCTCCCTTCCCCCCACCACCCAAGGAGACTCCTCAGAAAGGCTTTCCTCCACCTTAAGATGTGGTGGGGCACAAAGAGCCGAGAGGGACCTGCCGCCATCCTGAGTAGCCATTGATGTAGATGTTCCTGAGTTTTCAAGTTAGGCCAGTACTGAGCTGGGCGCCAAGCACCTCTGGTATGCCAAAGCGGAGGCTGTTTGGACCAACTCACAGAACACGTGACACAAGTCTTCGTGGGCTGTACTGTCCCTGCCTTCGCATCTTGCCCTTGAAAGATGTCTTTGGTTATCCCCCAGAGAAACGGAACATCACACTTTGAGAGTGAATTCAGCCTTGTTTTCCATGAACACATGTATCTGAAGCCAGGAGGCAGGGTGTAAGGAAGGCACTATAGAGGACGGTGACCAGTTGTCCCTGCAGGATACTGGCACCAGATCCCCAAACATTACTTACCCATAAGACTTATGAAGAGCAAAAGAAAATTTGGCAACGGGTCCTTACATCTGCACATATCTTTTACTGCTTTGTCAGAAGGGATGTTGGAGAATCTAGGGCTCAGGCTACCCATTGGCTGCTGCTGTTGAGTCAGACATATACTAGTAACAGTGGGAGTTTAAAGGGGCTTCCTGAGCAGGTAGATGAACATAGCACTTGCATTTTCACTGGGATGGGTCACCCACAGCTGAAATAGATGTCGTGGAGGTGCCATTCTGGAGTCGCAACCTTAGGATGCAGTGATGGCTGTTGTCTTATGGTCAGAGGAGTGATGCTATGTGCTCCTAGCTACAAGGGTGTTCAGAGTAGAACTTGTATGTAGTGGGTGCTTGCATTTGACATGAACCAGTATGACCTTTGTTTACCTGTTTTGTAGATAACTCCAAGTTCAAGTCTATTCAGGGAGTTGTGACCTCTCTCTGTGATGACTATGGCTGGATTAATGAAACCATATTCTTCAATACGAATGTAATCAGTGATAACGCGCCTCTGGACATCGGGACAAATGTCCTTGCACTTGTGGAAAAAGATGATACGTCTTATAACCTGAAAGCAATCAATGTATGGCTGAGTTTATCCAGTCCCTTAACCTAAGGGCATTTTGATTTCTCTCTTAGATTAAGACAAACTCTAATGTAGATATGAGATGAGTTTAATGGGCTTCTTCTACTATGTGATTGCAGTATCATTTTTTATATTTATAAAGATTTGTTTTACCTCTCTTTCATATTTAAATGTGTTGAATTATTGGATCTCATATAATGGTATTACTTCCATTTTTAGTAAGAATCTATTTCTCTTCTATGAATTCAAACAAATATATTTACTATAAACGTCCTTTACTTTATAATGTATTCAGAATAAAAGGCATATTTTATGTACAACAAAGTTCTGCTATAGATTTTTAAGACTTTGTTCTATAAACATAATCAGCTCATATATTTACATTTCAATGGCTATTCTAACAAAAACTGTTGGCTATACTGTTCTAATTTATCACCTCAGCCGTAGGCTACAGAAAATCCTCTTATCAGTACTGATAAGCACTGGCACATTAGTGTAGTAGTAGTGCTAATTGTAGTAGTAGTAGTAGCAGTTGTTGTTATTGAAAAAACTATTGGTAATTTGATAACTGAAAAGCACATTTTTAAGTATTTAAATTTTATGCAACAAATTATTACTCTGTACATTACATGGCCACAAATAGACTGAACCCTTGGCTAGCCTGCAACTTGCAGCCATCTTCCTAGTTTCTGGCTCCTACGTTCTGGAATTACAGGCCCCATATACAGTATCTAGTTTTACTCCTATTTCTTTCAGAAAGCTATACACATATTGGCTTGAAAACAGTCAGCCTACATTTGACATAAGGGTGCTAAGAGAAGGATGTACACATACATTGCTTTGCAACTTGCTCCTAACTGGTGCTATACTGTGAGTTGAATCATCCATTCTACTTCATTTAGTTTGTGGGGACAAACACTATCTTAGGGTTTTTCTGGGTCTTAAAAATCTATCTGAATTCTTTGCCATGAATGTTAGTGGTGTTTCTGTGTTGAAAAAAAAAAAAAGAGAACTGGGAGAATGCAAGTTTGCCGTAAAAACTGAGATATTGTTAGGGTACACAGCATGTCTATGTGTTAGTGTAAAGTCAGAATGGTCAGAGTCTGTGATGCTCATCTGCCAGCATACTGACAGAATTGGTGGTAAATTGTCAGATAGGATCCAAGCCCTTCACTACTCAGTGCAAGTGATCCTAAGGGAAAGGACCATGCAATCTGTACTAATAACTAGCCATACACAGAGTGAGATGTGGCAACAATTATTTAGATGTTGAAAACACCCTTTGGAATCAGTGACTTCAGCTTTCATGATGATCATAGAACATCAACTGTCATCAGCCTCTTCCCTCTACACATAATGAGTGCATCCAAACTAAATATGACAGGATGAGGAATGCAGGTCACTAATTATCATGCATGTACCTATTGTGATTCCAGATGTCCCTTTGTGCTGCCCTTTTGTGAGTCTTCATGCAATATTTTAATAGCATGCACAATACTCGGTTTTGATTTTCAAAGGGGTAACCAGTCACTGTTTCTGGATAATAGAATTATCCAGTATGGTTTGTGGGAGATGGTTTTCTGCTTTGTGTCCCTGTGGCAATTCTATTTTTTGTGTAAAGAACACTCATCTTTTGTTTAATGAAGAAAGTTTCAAAGGAAAACTACTTATGCTAAAGTTCATTTTCTTTGATAATTTAGAATAATAGTGTTCCACCAGTCTGTAGAGCCAGCCTTGCATGACTTGTCTTTGAAAAATCTTCTGCCGGTGGTTACATCTCTCACTTCATGATGAACTCATGCATCCAAGTCCTGAAAGGAGAGAGCACATTTTCCTTCCTCCCTTCTCCAAAACTGTGCTACACATTCTTCTTTCTGCAGACTTAATTCTGTTTTACCCCCATCTCCCAGGCAACCAAGTTCTCTTCCTTCACATGCACCACAAAGGTATCCTCAGATTATCCTACCTAGTGTGACTCAGGCTGTTTCTGACGGTGTAAATGTGGAAAATTTTTCTCTAATTTGAGTTGCAGCCATAATGGCAAATTGTGTAGAAGTATACTTTTTAATGTATTTTACACTATTGAATTTTGAGTTTCTAGAAAGTAAGAACACTGCATTTCAAAAGTCAGAAGCTAAGTTTGTGGATGCATTAAACATAGGTGTGGAACTCACACTTGCACTACACTTAGCAATCCACAGAGCAAGCATAGATATAATTTATGCCCTTATCTCAGGCCCATAATATATTTTTAATGGGAAATGTATCTTCTAGGTTTGAGAATAGTTGTTTAAACAATTTCTGCAGCAGGAGGGCTGCTTTGGCATGTATAATAAAATCCGTTGTCTCTGACATAGGAGGACTATGTCCTAAAGTATCCTTACATATGTCTTAGGTACTCACTACAATACTTACCAATCCTTGGTAAGGGTACAATCTCCTGTATATAATTTTTAATTCACCTGCACTCACTGTTTCCTCTTACAGGTGAAACCTATAAATGATCTTCCTGACCGTAATGATCCATCAAAACCTGGCAGAAGACTTTGTGTTAAATGTGTCACCTCTGTAACTGAAGATGATCTTTATATCAGCAAAGACACGTTCTTCCCATTATACATGTTTTCTGGAGGTAGGAGTTATAGCTTTAAAAATATAGAGCAAGAAATATAAGTATTGGGCTTGAGGGTCCTTGAAATTGAACACAGGGTACAATACAGGGGGAAAGGGCAGTATTTTAAATTTTGCCTAGAGCTCCTGTCCCCTGTGATGACCACCACCATGTGTCCATGTGGTTCTCTTGATTCAGTTGATTTTGTTGGCTAAGTCACTTTTTAACTTTGGTTTTTCACATAGTGTTCCTGAAAGTTACCAGAAACTCATACGTATCTGAGAATTGTGCATGAGATTAGGAAAGCCACCCACTAAGCTTCTGGGATTCTAGTTTTTGTGCCACTGTCCCAGGATACATTCAAAATCGAATCAATGACAGCATTACATAACTATAAGTGATTTATCTGGAAAATAGTTGCATCATATGTCTTCCTCAAAGCCTGGGGAATACATCATTGTAAAGAACCAGTGTTTACACGGCTTTCTGCTTTCCTTCCTGTAGGAAGATATTTAAGGAGTCTAAGAGTTTGGAAGATTATTTTACCTGCAGGAAATGTTGGTCAGCATATGGCAGTGAATAAAGTCCTAGGAAATGTGACCTGACTGTATTAATATTTAATTCTCACTTTCTTGGCTGTTTTAGCATTCAGACCTTTCAAAGGAGACTTGCTGCTTGTTGAGTATTCCATGAACCCGGGCACTTCAAATGTCAATATCCACTCTGTGAGCCCTCTCAACTGCCAGTACATGGACAAGGTAATTGACCTCCATGTTGTCTTGTCATGGCTAGGCAGCTGCTTCTCCTCCTTACTGATCCCTTTCCTGCCCAGGATTTTGTGTGGTATGTTTGGTAGTATATCCCCTGTCAGAGTGGACACATTTGTTCACTGATTGAAAAAGAAGTAAGCAGAGAGTAATGGTGTGTGTGTGTGTGTGTGTGTGTGTGTGTGCTTAATTTCTAAGTTGTGTGTTTTCCTTGACATTAGGCTGTTCTGTGGACAAGAGTTAGAAAATCGTCTTGGTTGTGAGAAAATTGTGAGGAACCTTTGAGTGCACTAGGTTTGAGGTGTACAACCTGCTGATAGAGATGGGTCAGAGGTTGGTTAGGACAACCTGAGAATGAGTTGTAAAGTCAGGGAAGTAGAGTGTGAGGTTATGATGGGGTGAGGGACCTGCTGATTGGGGATGTGGAGGGCTGTCTGTGGTGGGTTACACGCTTCCCCAGACTCATTGTCATCATTTCTCATCATAGGTCTGTGTAACTAGCATTGATGGAAGAAATGGCGTGGTGGATGACATCGTCTTTTTCACCCTGGATTCTCTCCATACTCACCGTGGATATACACCGGCTTTGTATGACATTGTGAACGCTACTGTGGTAGACAGCATCCAATCTCACTACACTCGTAGAGTGGTGGCTATGAGTCCAGTGGATGTGCTGTATTAATCAATCCTTCTGGATCACTGTCAATGTTAATACTGGCTTCTAATGCCTGGTTAAATAAAGTAGTACGGATGAACAAAGTAAATATGTTGGAAGTCAAGACTTTTTTTTTGAACATTGTTTTTGTTTTGGTGGTGGTAATGATAAAATGGATTTATTTTTTGTTTTTTTGTTTTTTAATTTATTTTTCAACTAGAATTTATTTATTTTTTTAACGCGTATTTTATTTTTTTATTGGATGTTTTATTTACATTTCATATGTTATCCCCTTACCCCATCCCCACCCACCCAGGAACTCCCTATCCCCTCACCCCTCCTTTTGCTTCTCTGCAGATGTACCCCTACCTACCCCCCACTCCCACCTCCCCACCCTCAAATTCCCACCCACTGGGGCGTCCAGCCTTCATGGTACCAAGGATCTCTTCTCCCATCTATGCCCGACATATACATATAAGGCCCTCCCTCCTCCCTTACATATACAGCTGAAGCCATGGATCCCTCCCTAAGTGCTCCCAGGCTGGTGGTTTAGACCCTGGGAGCTCTGGTTGGTTGGTATTGTTGCTTTCCTCATGGGGCCACAAACCCTTTCAGCTCCAACAGTCTTCACTCTAACTCCTCCATTGGAAACCCCATGATCAGTTCAATGGCTAGCTGTGAGCATCTGCCTCTGAATATGTCAGACTCTTGCAGACCTCTGAGGAGACGTCTATATCAGGCTCCTGTCAGCATGCACTTCCTGACTTCCACATCAGCATCTACCTTTGGTGACTGCACATGGGATGGATACCCAGGTAGAGTGGTCTCCAGATGGCCCCTCCTTCAGTTTCTGTCCCTCACTTTGCCTCCATATTTGCTCCCTTGAGTATTTTGTTACTCCTTCTAAGAAGGACCGAAGCACTCCCACTTGGTCTGACTTCTTCATGAGCTTCATGTGGCCTGTGCGTTGAATCTTGGGTATTTTAAGGTTCTGGGCTAATATCCAGTAATCAGTGAGTGGATACCATGTGTGTTCTTTTGTGATTGGCTTACCTCACTCAGGATGATAATTTCTAGTTCCATCCATTGACCTATGAATTTCTCGAATTCATTGTTTTTAATAGCTGAGTAATACTCCATTGTGTAAATGCACCACATTTTTTGAATCCATTCCTCAGTTGAAGGACATCTGGGTTCTTTCCAGTTTCTGACTATTATAAATAAGGCTGCTATGAACATAGTTGAGCATGTGTCCTTGTTATATTTTAGATCATCTTCTGGGTATATGCCCAGGAGTGGTATAGCTGGATCCTCAGGTAACGCTATGTCCAATTTTCTGAGGAACCGCCATACTGATTTCCAAACTGGTTGAACCATCTTGCAGTCCCACCAACAATGGAGGAGTGTTGTTCTTTCTCCATACCCTCGACAGCGTCTGCTATCACCTGAGTTCTTAATCTTAGCCATTCTGACTGGTGTGAGATGGAATCTCAGGGTTGTTTTGATCTGCATTTCCCTGATGACTAAGGATACTGAACGTATCTTTAGGTGTTTCTCTACCATTAGAGTTTCCTCAGTTGAAAATTCTTTGTTTGGCTCTGTACCCCATTTTTAATAGGGTTATTTGGTTGTCTGGAGTCTAATTTCTTGAGTTCTTTGTATATATTGGATATTAGCCCTCTGTCAGACGTAAGATTGGTAAAGATCTTTTCCCAATTTGTTGGTTGTCGTTTTGTCCTATTGACAGTGTCCTTTGCCTTACAGAATTTTTGCAATTTTATGAGGTCCCATTTGTCAATTCTTGATCTTAGAGCATAAGCCATTGGTGTTCTGTTCAGGAACTTTTCCCCTGTGCCCAAGTATTCGAGGTTCTTCCCCACCTTCTCTTCTATTAGTTTCAGTATATCTGGTTTTATGTGGAGGTCCTTTATCCACTTAGACTTTAGCTTTGTGCAAGGAGATAGGAATGGATCAATTTTCATTCTTCTACATGTTGTCCTCCAGTTGAACCAGCACCATTTGTTGAAAATGCTTTCTTCTTCCACTGGATAGTTTTCACTCCTTTGTCAAAGATCAAGTAACCATAGGTGTATGGGTTCATTTCTGGGTCTTCAATTCTATTCCATTGATCTTCCTGCCTGTCTCTGTACCAGTGCCATGCAGTTTTTATCACTATTGCTCCATTGTACAGCTTGAGGTCAGGGTTGGTGATTCCCTCAGAAGTTCTTTTACTATTGAGAGTAGTTTTCACTATCCTGGTTTTTTTGTTATTCCAAATGAATTTGAGAATTTCCTTTTCTAACTCTGTGAAGAATTGAGTTGGGATTTTAATGGGGATTGCATTGAATCTGTAGATTGCTTTTGGCAAGATGGCCATTTTTATTATATTAATCCTGCTAATCCATGAGCATGGGAGATCTTTCCATCTTCTGAGATCTTTTATTTCTTTCTTCAGAGACTTGAAGTTCTTGTCATACAGGTCTTTCACTTGCTTGGTTAGATTCACAATAAGGTATTTTACATTATTTGTGACTATTGTGAAGGGTGTCATTCCCCTAATTTCTTTTTCAGTCTGTTTATCTTTTGAGTAGAGGAAGGCTACTGATTTGTTTGAGTTGATTTTATATCCAGCCACTTGGCTGAAGTTGTTTATCAGGTTTAGGAGTTCTCTGGTGGAAGTTTTTGGGTCACTTAAGTATACTATCATATCATTTGCAAATAGTGATATTTTGACTTCTTCCTTTCCTATTTGTATTCCTTTGACTTGTTTTTGTTGTCTAATTGCTCTGGCTAGGACTTCCAGTACTATATTGAATAGATAGGGGGAGAGTGGGCAGCCTTGTCTAGTCCCTGATCTTAGTGGGATTGCTTCAAGTTTCTCTCCATTTAGCTTGATGTTGGCTACTGGTTTGCTGTATATTGCTTTTACTATGTTTAAGTAGGGGCCTTGAATTCCTGATCTTTCCAAGACTTTTATCATGAAGGGATGTTGAATTTCGTCAAATGCTTTCTCAGCATCTAGTGAGATGATCATGTGGTTTTTTTCTTTGAGTTTGTTTATACAGTAGATTACATTGATGGATTTCTGAATATTGAATCATCCCTGCATTCCTGGGATAAAACCTACTTGATCATGATGGATGATTGTTTTGATGTGTTCTTGTATTCAGTTTGCTAGAATTTTATTGAGCATTTTTGCATCGATATTCATAAGGGAGACTGGTCTGAAGTTCTCTTTCTTTGTTGGGTCTTTGTGAGGTTTGGGTTTGAGTGTAAGTGTAGCTTCATAGAATAAATTGGGTAGTGTTCCTTCTGTTTCTATTTTGTGGAATAGTTTGAAGAGAATTGGTATTAGGTCTTCCTTGAAGATCTGATAGAATTCTGCACTAAAGCCATCTGGTCCTGGGCTTTTTTTGGTGGGGAGACTTTTAATGGCTGCTGCTATTTCCTTAGGGGTTATGGGACAGTTTAGATGGTTTATCTGCTCCTGATTTAACTTTGGTACCTGGTATCTGTCTAGGAAGTTGTCCATTTCATCCAAGTTTTCCAGTTTTGCTGAGTATAGGCCTTTGTAGTAGGATCCGATGATTTTTTGAATTTCCTCAGTTTCTGTTGTTATGTCTCTCTTTTCAATTCTGATTTTATTAATTTGGATACTGTGTCTGTGCCCTCTGGTTAATCTGGCTAAGGGTTTATTTATCTTGTTGATTTTCTCAAAGAACCAGCTCCTGGTTTTGTTGATATTTTGTATTATTCTTTCTGTTTCTATTTGGTTGATTTCAGCCCTGAGTTTGATTATTTCCTGCCTTCTACTCCTCTTGGGTGTATTAGCTTCTTTTTGTTCTAGAGCTTTTAGTTGTGCTGTCAAGTTGTTAGTGTATTCTCTCTCCAGTTTCTTTTTGTAGGCACTTAAAGTTATGAGTTTTCCTATTAGCACTGCTTTCATCGAGTCACACAAGTTTTGGTATGATGTGTCCTCATTTTCATTAAATTCTAAAAAGTTCTTTATTTCTTCCTTGACCAAGTCATCATTGAGTAGTGAGTTGTTCAGTTTCCATGTGCATGTGGGTTTTCCATTGGTTTTGTCATTATTAAAGACCAGCCTTAGTCCGTGGTGATCTGATAGGATGCAAGGGATTATTTCAATCTTTTTGTATCTGTAGAGGCCTGTTTTGTGACCAATTATATGGTCTATTTTGGAGAAGGTACCATGAGGTGCTGAGAAAAAGGCATATTCTTTTGTTTTTAGGATGAAATGTTCTATAGATATATGTTAAATCCATTTGGTTCAAAACTTCTGTTAATTTCAAAGTGTCTCAGTTTAGTTTCTGTTTCCATGATCTGTCCATTGTTGAGAGTAGGGTGTTGAAATCCCCCACTATTATTGTGTAAGGTGTAATGTGTGTTTTGAGCTTTAGTAAAGTTTCTTTTATGTATGTAGGTGCCCTTGCATTTGGAACATAGATGTTAAGAATTGAGAGTTCATCTTGGTATTTTTTTCCTTTGATGTGTATGAAGTATCCTTCCTTATCTTTTTTGAGTACTTTTGGTTGAAAGTCAATTTTATTTGATATTAGAATGGCTACTCCAGCTTGTTTCTTGGGACCATGGGCTTGGAAAATTGTTTTTCACCCTTTTATTCTGAGGTAGTGTCTGTCTTTGTCACTGAGGTGCGTTTCTTGTATGCAGCAAAATTCTGGGTCTTGTTTGTGTACCCAGTCTGATAGTCTGCGTCTTTTTATTGGGGAATTGAGTCCATTGATGTTAAGAGATATTAAGGAAAAATGATTGTGGCTTCCTATTATTGTTGTTATTAGAGGTAGAATTATGTTTGTATAGCTATCTTCTTTTGGGGTTGTTGGAAGATTACTTCCTTGCTTTTTCTAGGTTGTAGTTTCCCTCCTTGTGTTGGCATTTTCCACCAATTATTCTTTGAAGTGCTGGGTTTGTGTGAAGATATTGTGCAAATTTGGTTTTGTAATGGGATATCTTGGTTTCTCCATCTATAGTGATTGAGAGTATTGCTG